AGTATAGAGTAATTTTGATAATAATTTTGGATCTTCATATCAAAGAAAACTTCTCAGAAAAAATGCAAAAAATCTTTTTTTTTTAAATTTCCTAATTATATAATTATAAATAAAAAATACATTTTCTTAGTTTGTTAGTTCTCTTTATAGATATGTAAATATCGTAAAAAATAAATCTTATACAATTTTAAAATCGTGATGTGATAACTAATTTATGAAATTAGTCAAATTCGTTTTTAACATACAAAAGTTTATAAAAATTACATGATTTGATTTAAACTAAAAGTTCTTGAATTTTATTAAAATTGTTTAAGCTGTATCTATCGTGCTTTCAAAAAATTTAATATACTCTTTAGTGCTTTCAAAAGATTTAATACTCTCTATATATTTTTCTTTGCAGAAATCAAACCACATAGGTTTTTAAATATTACATATTTTCCAATGCTGGATAGCATTATACATTACATTATACATTAATTGAAAAATTAATTACTATACACAAGTGATGTGATTATACATTAACACTCTGTATACATATAACACTTTGTTTTGCCTAGCAATTAACGAACAAAATTAAAATATAACTCATTTTCAAAGTTGCTAAAATATTGGAAGCGTTTTACGTAAATCAATTTCTCTGCAAGAATAATATTTCATTGTTATTAATATTTTTTATATTTGACAGAACCCGTACGTTCTTAAAAACATTTTATTCCTTCAGACTTCTCACTCAGTATTAATTGTTTCAAGGAATATTTTATATTTTTTTATAGACTTTGATTTTTAGATTTATCTTTTGTTTAGAAGTTTAGTTTTTTATGAATTAAATTATTATTATATATTAGTGTCTAATTTTGTGCATATGCGCATATATGTACGTGCGTGTGCGTGTATGTTTATATATACGTATTACACGTAATATTAGTGTTGTGCTATCCGTATCTATTTCACTCACTAATACAATATAAAATACAAATAAATACGTTGTATGAATCAACTACATATGTGTATGCGTGTTTTTCTGGACGCATGATTCCCATATCTCTGCGATTAGAGATAACATACAAACCACATGTTACACTTTCTACGATTTAATTCTTACAATTAATATATGTTTCGTGTTATTTTGAAGAATTTAATGTGATCGAGGGAGTTCTTTCTTCTATCGAGTGTAAACTGAGGAAGTCATATAAGTTGCCGAGTATGTCGGTATCACTTGAGCCATTATTATCAATTTCTAGTAAAACAAATATTAACGATCCCCCTCTCCCTTTTGCACGTATGAAAGGTGCGTGTGACGAGTGCACAAACCGGTTTCTATAATAAGATTTTTTGCTTTTGCATCGCCTATCATTATCTGTAGGGTGGGATAAAAACATTTGCGAAGTGATATATTCAATGTAATTTCAATATTTTAGATCACATACGCGTATCTCTTTTGAAGCCTAGAGAGATAATGTATAAAATTTATTGTAGGAATATGAGTTCTTTTGCGTTCGTACTATCGATGTATTGCTTTTCGAGAGATAAATCTTTCCATATATATTTAATGTAGCTAAAAAAAATTTTCGTTGTTTGTCTAACTATTGTCTAACTAACTTGCCTTGTAAAACTATTCTCAGTTTCTGCAGTTTTCTTTAAAAAAATAAGCATTTAAATTTCTTTTGCTGTTGAAAGAATTAGTAAAGCTATTCAATTAGTGAAGCTATACGAAAAATGAAGATTTTTTGCGGACCGCCCTGTATATACCGCCTTGCAGCAGGTAAACCGTCTCTTCAACGCTATGGACGACTCATCGTTTAGTAGTATCGCTTCATTGCTCGCGTGAATATCCGTTTCTCGCACGTTCTCGTCTTCTCCGTTCTAGAAGAGAAGTCACAGCAAAATCGAATATAGTGCCAGTTTTATCAAATCCAGTGAGATAACTAAAAGTCGATCTTAGTCGTTAGCGATAACAGTGCTATTTTTTATCCGAATGGATTTTTTGTGTTTCGACGGTTTACTGAAAAAAAAAAAGAAAGAAAGCCGCGTAATATATAATTTTACTCTCTTTTGCGTTTATTTCATTCTGCTCCAAAAAATGCATTTTATATCATATGGGTCAATAATTTGATGATATTGACGTAAATCTTGTTGTTTTATATTTTGACGTTTAGGTATACATCCCCTTTTTGAAATAATCAGGTCAATTGGATCATTAATTAGAGATTAGCAAAGTAGAAAATTAGCAATATATAATAATAAAATATTTTTTTACAACAATATATAACAAAAGTAACAATGTTTCTCTTTTGCTTATTCAACAAACCGATTAAAACCGGATAACTAAGAGCTTATATTGTACATATTAATTTCGATGTATTATTAAGTACTAATTGTTAGCTGTACAATACTATATATTATTACTCTGTCACTATATATATGTATATGTATGTGTATGTAATATATATGTGTATATAAATATTGTATGTAGATATGTTTTCATTTACATGTAGTTTTATCTATTTACATGCATGTTTAGCTTTAAATAATGAACATTTCATGGAAAATGGAATTACATTAAAAGTTTACATTTTAGTATTCTTTAAATTATCAAATAATCACTTAAAAATATCATAGATAAATTATTGGCATTTATATGAATAAAATTTAAAACAGTTTCTTAGTATTGTATCTACATATGATTACTTATCATTCAATGTGCTGTACTTTTTGGTATACATTTTTATGATTGGAGACTTTACTTCTCTCATAAATAATTATTTTGTGACCAAAGATGCTGTTATATCTATGCTATCTTTCAAAAAATACACTAATTAAGTTTATACTAAAGTATATACACTAATTAAGCACGCTTTTTTATCACTTTTATTATTTTGACTCATTTCAGCAGTTCATGTACTAACAATACAGCAGAATGTAATAAAATTACTCTAACAATAAGTAACATAAGATTAACTATAGATTTTATTATTATAATATTATATGTAGGTCATAAGAGAGAAGTCAGCGTGTACGCCTATTCTTAAGAGAGTTATCGCATTTTCTTCCTCTCTTTTTCTCTTTCATCATTTCTTGCGCCGCTTTCGTGAGTAAGCTTCCGCACGGCGATAACGCTGTGAGAGACGGTGACGATAAATATTTTAAATTGCCATTTGAGAACAGTTTCACTAATTAGTATAGAATGGAACGGCATCTGAGAACGGCCTCGTTCCTTGTTTGTCTCGTGATTTTGATCGCGGCCGCTCTCGAAAGCGATCAAACAGAGGAAGAGCCAGAGGAATTATTGGAGGGAAGTTTTATCATCCCTCATGTTTATTCGGAGGTAGAGATAATTTCAAGTCCGATTACATTCTTTATATTGGATATTTAGAATTTATCAACGACGACAATTCACATCGCTTTGCTAATGTATCATAATGATTCTATTAATGTCTATACATAGTTTGCAAGTAATGTAATTTATATAATATAATATAATAAAAAATCACTTTTTTAAACACAAGAATAAAAATAATTATATTTTATAATTTCTTGATGTTGCATACAAATCTGGTCTTCAAAATGCTCTTTTAAACATCACAATTTTCAGAAATTCAAAGTTAAATTTGTAAAAAGAAATTAATTTAACTAATTTATTATATTACATTTATGATAATATATATGCGATGTGCTAAAAATATTATTACAATTTATAAACTCCAAAAAAGATATATTGTAAAAATTGAAGTTAATAATATTTTCATGATTATATATAACATTGGAAAGTAATTATATTGTTAAAAAGTTAAGTTAAATTATTAAAGATTACAAAAGGCGATATAGGTACTAAATATTTTTTAATTAAATTACATAAAGTACATAAGAATTTTTGTGTCTTCTGAACACAAATTCAATGTCAAAAATACATTTAAAATGATAGATTCGTAATATGGCATTTATATCAAAATTTAAAAAATTTATATATTTGTCATATTGGATTTGTTAATTTTGACATCGAATTGTAATCAGAAATATCAAAAATTCTTATGTATATATAAATATAATATAAATTAGAAAATAATTGACTATATCATTTGTATCTTAATGATTTAATAATTTAACATAATTTTCAAGCAATGTGATAAATCCAATATTTAATCACAAAAACCTTATTAACTTTAAATTTACAACAACAATTTTACAATACTTTACTCAGGTAATAGTTCTAACAATATAATTAATTTGAAACAGAAACCAACACTATAGCTGTAATATAATAAATTACTTTAAAAGAATCATTTTTTACACATTTTTAACTTTAATTTAGAATTTTTTAAAATTAATGATTTTGGAAAGCCGGATTCATATTCAGTTAAAAAAATTACAAAAATAATTATTCTTTTTCTTGATGTTTTTCTTATTGAATTGTAATTAATTCTGGAATAGTAACTTTCTAAATATAATGATAACATCAGAGACGGTTACTAACTATTTATGTCATAATTAAACAAGATTTTTAGAAATACTTATTTTTGAAACTTAAACTTGATTGTGAAAATATCTTAAATGTAATTGTATAACATAAGTATATGTATAATACTCAGATTATGTAAAACAAAAGTAATGTTAAAAAAAGTGTGATATTATATATAACTAACAAATTTCAGCAGATTTATTGTGTAACTTTAAATGCATGCCTTATAGGACTCTACCTAAATAACTATCTATGTAAAAAAATGTGTTATAGTTATAACGCATGCGTTAAAAGTTATGGAATAGACCTGCATACTTCGAGCATTATCTCAATTTGTTTATTTCCGATCAATTTAATACATAATATAATTTGGAATCAATTTTTTTCTTCTAATTATATAAGTATAGTATGCAGCAAAGAATCAAAATGTTGGATAATGTTTCGGATAGGTAGTCATTTTAGAAGAATATCAGAATTAAAATTTCACATGGTAATGGTGAACTAATAATAAGACAAAATTGTTTTACGACATAGATATAACAATCAGTTTTTAATAATTGATTTTATTATGTGTAACGCATTACACATATTTAGCAATGTTTTGCAACAAAAAATTTAAAAATTAACATTTAATTTTTTTTTGCACAACTACAACTATGGGCTACTTCATTTGTCTTCATTATTCCCTCGGGCTCTTTTTCCTAGATGACGACCGAGCATGATGACAGCTCCGGAAAGCCCCGTGTGTCGCTATGTTGTCGCGTTAATACTTTCCTCACCAGAGACAACTGCGTGAAGGAAGCAACGAACGGGACGGAAGTGGTCCAATTGCCGACGATTTACGAGACCAACCTTGAACTGGCAAATATCACTACGAGCGACGAGTACTTTAATTTTGTGGTATGGAATCCATGCGCCGGCAGGAATCGGTATCCTTTGAATCCGCACGTTTACATGGACGAGAAATGGTATCTCATGTCGAATGGCTCTATATTACGACCTCTGGCTGAGGAGCTGGAGGAGCGTATCCTCGACTACCATCAATACTGCTTAGCGCGGGTGAAAGGCTACGAGTATCAGGAGTACTTGGTGTTTTTCTGCGAGGAGACGTACGCAATTGAGGATGACGATGGCGGTGGAATTGTATACTCCTTCGGAATGCTTGTGTCCGTGCCGTTTCTAGCCGCCACATACATCATCTACTGGTTACTGCCTGACCTGAAAAACTTGCATGGTCTAACGTTGCGCGGATATGTTGGTTGTCTGGCGATGGCGTACAGTATAGTGGGAATGCTTCAACTGACGCCGCAGGAGCAAATCCTAACCGATATCTGCATCACACTCGGTATATCCACAGAATGATGTGACTTTTCTTCTTAACTTGTGTTGCTGTATTAACAAAAAAGAATCATGTTATTTTGAGATGAGATTATACTACTACACG